TCCCTCTCCCAAGTAACAGTCTAACTCTGATTTACTTGGCTCAACCATCTCGACCACGTCCAAACTGACTAAAATCATCCCAATCCTCTGCCCTCTTTACTGCTATCCCCGACCCCTCACCAACAACCTCAACTTCATCCCCTCTAGATGTAGAACCGCGGGCAGCAATCAATACTTTATTAGCATCAACATACTGCTTATATACCTTATACAAGACATCTCGAACAACATCAGTATTTGCCCGCACTTCAGGCTCAGAATATATCTTAGGGAATGACCACTGAATCACCCTCATCTTCTGTCTGGGGTCCAAAACAACAACATAACCATCAACATATTACATTCCTCCTAATATCTGTCAAACTTTTCTTTCATTTTCCAAATCATGGTCTATATAAATTCATCTTCATCCTCACTCTTACTATCCAACCTAATTTTGATTATACAAACTGTTTTAGAAATAAGTTTGATTTCAAATAATCACTCCTTGATATGAGATTCATTGCACCACTAAATACCTTCAAAATTTCACAAATTTTCTCTACTTTGTCCCAATTTTCCTCTTTGGGATAATAATGATAACTCAAATCTCTCTACTTCAAATAAGGAAAAACACGTCTAAACTTCATTGTTGTTGCCAATATATCATATGTTGAATTCCACCGTGTTTTGCAATCAAGAATAAGCTTGCGAAATGGCAATCGCCGATGCTGAACAATCTCTGCAAACACCTTTAGCCTCCTCTCTGATGAATTGATATATACCACGTTGTCACAGATGTCCTCAATAATGTGTCTAATCTGATAAAGACCATCTTGAACAACCAAGTTCAAGATGTGTGCACAACACCTCACATGAAACAACTTGCCCCCACCTATGAGCTTCCCCGTAGTTTGGAAATTTTCTTTCAACACTTTGATTGCAACATCATTGCTTAAAGCATTGTCCACCAAGATCTTGTGGACCTTAGCTTCAATTCCCCACGCCATCAAACACTTGAAAATTGCATCAACAATGGCAACACCAGAACGGGGAGGAGGGAAAAATGAATAAAGTTCAAGATCTGTCTATTCAACTTCCAATTATCATCAGTCCAATGCCCAACCAACATCATGTATTCCATCCTCTGATTGCTTGAATTCCATAGATCTGTGGTAAGTCTTATCTTCCTAATACCTTTCAATATGATCTTCAACTTTTGCCTCTCATTTTCAAACACTTTCACACAATCATTCTTATAACGATTATGGAAAATTGGAGTCCATTCAGGAATCTCGTACTTCATCATGTTGTTCAGGGCCTTTTTCTGCACAATAGAAAATGGATGCTTGTGCATCAGCACCCAATGCGCAATAAGCTCCCTCATCTTAAGGATATCGAATTAGCCCTATAGAGCAGGCAAGATGGTAGAGGTACCCTAAGAACTGGAAGCAGGGAAATTTATTTGTTGTTGCCTCAAGTTAGTAGTTCTCTTCGCATAGCTCTTCAAATATCTATTGAATTGTGTAGTGCTTCCAATGGTAGTCTTTTGTAGCTTTGTTTTACAATTAATGCTCTCTGCCTTCCTTGTACCACCAGGGAGAACCACCTCCCTAAATTCTGACTACATAGTTGATGTCTTAGCTCTCTTCTTCCTCCATAATGGATTGTCATTGTCCTCTACATTTTTGGGGCTACTCACACTTTGATTCGTACCACCTATGCTTGCATAAATGTTACGGCGATTGACTACTCTTACTGTAACACAACCATCGACATTATCCAATGTGGGGATGCTTGAGGAACTGTCTCTCCAGGCCATACCTATAATTGAAAAATAAGACACCATTAATAAGGGAATATAGGCATATAGCAAGTAAATATCATCAGGATGAGGCCATAATTAGCGAGCTGTGTGCAACTGAAAATAAATTTTTCATGTACTCAACAAATTACAAATGAAATGTTTGAGTTATACTTTGTCAGATTCCAAAAATGACTCAAAAAAATATGTAACTACATTATGGTAGGACATTATAAATTCAAGTAGGCATTTTATAGTATACTTAAAGCATCACATCAAGATAATAAAAACTTCATACTGATCCTAGCAGGGAATCTATATAAAGCAAAAGAAGAGGCAAAAATACACATGAACCAACTAGTTGATCTAGATATAGCAAATTAGAAGTAGTTTTCTTTCTCAAAGCATATTATCTGCACTATCCTAGAAATGAAGATAACTACCAAGATCACAATACATCCCAATACATTATACATCCGAAGAATCTTTTATTTCTCAATTAGTAAGTAGTTAGGACATATGAATCCCATAACCTTATCCATTAGCAGAGATAATCGACATCCATGCCTAAAGAAGAGAAGCCATAATACCAAATAAGGTATAGTTTAATGCTTAGCTGAATGGTTGCTAATGAGGTTTTTATATTCCATAATCAAATATGAATTAAAAAGCAAAACAACTCATAAGCGTAAAAAAACAACTCTAAAAATATTGTGGCAAATAAATGAACTTCTTAATCCTATTTAATGCAGCGTGAAAGGAATGAAAGAAGAGATATAAAATTCATCGATTACTGCAAGAACATAGGATGAAGGTTGTCACTTTCACGGTGATGAGATTTCTTGATTTGAGGGTTTAGGCTTCGGTGGTTTGAGGGATGAAATTGCTGTTTGTGTGAGTGTTTTCACGATCGACGAGATTGGTGACGTCACTAGTTTGGGGTTAGGATTCTTCGTGTGAGTGTTTGCGATTTGGGGGAAACTGATTTGGGGTTAAATTATGTCGTTTTACTATTTTGCACTTTGGGGGGGGGGGGGGGGGGGGGGGGGTAAATGTCTGTTTTTTAAATTTTTTGAACTGCTATATAATAGTTCAGTCCCTCTTGGTTTATAAAACTCACCAAAAGCACTCTTCTTACGCTAGCCAGCCCGAACTCGCGAGCTCACGAGCTAAGCCCCCTAATGATCGAACTTTACTCGATTTATATATTGAGTTCAAGCTGAGTCAACTCGACGATCGCCGAGTCGAGCTACAAACAAGCTTCAGACAAGTCAAGCCAAACCGGCTCGCGAGCAGCTTGACTCGTCTGACAGTCCTAACAGGGATTGCGATAGAGTAGACTGCTCGGTCGAGCAAAGGTGGACCTACGAGTTGGGAATGGAGCACACATTGCTAAATTAGCCGTAGGGGATTATTATTTAAGTTTGCCTTTAGGCCTTGTACTAGAACTTTTAAATTGTTTTTATGTACCTTCGATTTCAAAGAATATTATTTTTGTGTTGGCTTTGGAGAACATTGGATATCAATTAATGATAACTAATGGATTGCTTTCAATTAGTTTGAATAGTATTCAATATGTAATTGCGATATTACATAATAGTTTGTATGTTCTAGATTTAAATAATAATGAGATTTTCAATATAGAGAATAAGAAAGCCATGGTTGATGGCTTTAATCAAACTTACCTATGGTATTGTAGGTTTGGTCATGTGAACCAGACTGCATAGCAAAAATAATTAACAGACCTAGAGGGTTTAAAAATAATTGAATAAAATATAATCGGATTTTCAGAATAGAGAAACAAATATGTATTTTGGGTAGGATAGGGATAGGATAGTGCAAAAATACTTAAATAAATGCACTCAGCCTATTTTGTTTTTCTCTCCAAATTATAGAGATTTAATTTTTATAGCTTAAATACTGCTGTTAACAGTGCTCCTAAATTATAAAATATCATCACTAAGAACTTTTTAACTTCTTGGACTAAACATGCATTAATTCAAAGAGTAGAGAAAAAAAAACCAATTTTGATATTTCTTGAGGGGGTCTGAAATTATTTTAGGCAGAATTTTTATAATCAAACCGAAATCTTAGGGTATTTGTAATTTTTTTTTTAAAATGTTGATGAAATTAAATACTTCCCATTTTATTATTCGAATGCTGTTTAATGGAAGGCGGATCAGGTTTTGGTCAAATAATAACCTTTTCCTGGGCACCAGAAGCTTGGAAGAGTATCAGGATTTTTTTTTTTTTTATTTTTTATTATTTTTTATTTTTTACACGTAAAGAAAGTTCAATCAAACACCAAATAGAATACTGAATATTCCGCACGTTTGTGTTTAATTTTGTGGCTGCATGTATCCGAATATGAATATTGAATATTACAAGTCAAACGAATAGGATTATGAATAAGTATTGATCTTTTTTTCAGAGCCGAGTTGCTTACTAAATCAAAGAGTGAACAGAAGAAAGAAAATTACTGACAGAGAGACTTATTCCAAAACAAATTCAAAGGAAAATGGAAGAAACAAATAAATTAAGAGTCTCTCAGTTTTAGGTATAAAGACGAAAAACAAACATTTTATGCATGCGGAACTTTGAGGGAAAATGATAACCAAAGAAGCAGAATAAAGCAAAAAAAGATTATTCTTTGGTTTTGTGAATTCTAAGAAAAAACGAAAATTCCACACGTTTAAGTTCTTGCCACTGCTTGTATACAAATGTCAACTTTTTGAAGCCATGCTTTATCTTGGTAATAAATCGAAAGGCAATAACATTTGAACTCAATTAAGGAGATATTGTTTATTTTGGGTTTACAATTTTCTTATTTGGACTTTATGTAATAGTTTTAATTCCTGAGTGGTTGAATCTTTGTATGCATGTGCATGGACATTGAAAAAGTTTAATATGAAGCACATTAAACTCCTGTTGACAATAAGTTGAAGCTTATACGAGAGCACATACAGATGAGTTAACAGCGGCGGTTAATTTGATTATTTTGACACAACGACAATTCTTTTGACAGAGACAGCTACCTACTCGGCCACTTAATTCCAGACTCTCGATTACTTTACCAAGATTTTCAAAGCAACTTCCTTCTAAGTAATTATCGTCTAGCTTTTGTTTGAATGTGTCAATGATTAATAGTCTCTTGGTCAATTTGACTGAAGTCTATAAATATCAGCTGGCCTCTCCTTGAAAGAGCACATTACTGCATTCTTAATTCTAAAAAAATTTCAGCTTCGAAGTCGCATTATTGTTTTCTTTTGGGCACCAAAAGAGGTGAGGGATTTCATCTAAGTTTCTGTTGTTATATACTTTCAATACCGCCTGCTAAAATATTAAAATTTTGGTTATACTAATTCATGTTAATATCATAAAATCACCTCACACTTAAAGACCAATTTTGATTAATTTATAATAACCACTTGACATTATATTTTTAATCATACCAATTTTCCATTCAATGATGCAAGGCTAAGTGCTTGTAGTCCTTGGAAATTCTATTTCCAGTTTACTAATCATCAGCTGATGTTTCTTTCTTGCATTTTTATTTATTTATTTATTTTTTTTTATAGATAGCAGGCACTATAAAATTCTTCACTAGATCGTTGCAAAAGAAAAAGTAGAGTAATGGGTGACATAGCAAAGAATTGGAAGGAGTTAAGTGGCGAGAATGATTGGGAAGATCTATTGGATCCTCTCAACATCAATCTCCGCCAGTATATAATTCACTACGGCGAAAGGGTTCAAGCTGTTTATGACTCCTTCAATCAAGACAAGTCCTCTCAGGTGTATGGATTTCCTCATCTCACCCAAAGGTCTTCCCAGTGTCGGGCCTAGAGAAAGGGAATCCTTTCAAGTATACCTCACCAACTATCTGTACGCAATGACAGATATCGATTCCGCATTGATTGGATTGTCAAGGACCAATCTTCTTGGATCGGTTATGTTGCTGTGGCCACGGATGAAGGGAAGGCTGCATTAGGAAGGAGAGAGATTCATTTCCTGGAGAGGGACTCTTTGACCGGCGAATGGTTGAAGGATGTCAATTGGCTCTAACTTCAGCTTCAAACTTACTTGGGGAACTCATCCGGATCCTCAACCTCATGTGCACCAGGGATTTCTTCGCTCTACACATCGCCAACCCCAAATCACAATACAATAACTTAGTGCCAGAGATCAGGTATCCAGAAAAGCTCAGATCATGAGAGATTAATCCTAATCTTAATATATAGTCGTCTTGTTTCAAGTCATTAATGAGTAGTTTATTAGTTAACAAGGAGTTTTTTTATTTTTTTTTTATTTTTTATTTTAATTATTTTTTTTTTTTTTAATCTAATAAGCATATGCAGGTTCTGAGGTGCTGTTAGAAAATTGGTAGATAAATACAAAGACGGGAAATCAGGATAATAAATAATAGGTCATAGTTGGGTTCAGCGCTTGCGACATTGAATGCAGCAGACATAGTTCCGGAGGATATAATAAGCCCACGGGATCGGATAAAGCATGCATTGTTACAGCTTTTGTGTTTGCGAGTCCCAAGGTTGGAGACAAAGGCTTCAAGACTGTATTCAACAAAACTCAGCATCTTCATCTCTTGCCATCAGAAACATCAACGACATAGTTTCCTAAATTGCCTTTATTTTCTACTGTAAAGTGGGGGAACAGGTAAAATTTGATTCTACCAAGTCAACGTACTTAAAGGCTGAAAATGCTAAACAAATAGCTGATCTGCATAATTTGGAGAATTATCTTCGGAATTGCAGGGACGACGTCTGAGGGGAGTGGTAAATTGAGTGATAATTAAACGTGATTTGCATGGTGAACAAAGGATTAGATATTTTGAAGAGCGAATTTGGTTGTACCACCTAATGGTGGGATCCAGTTGTAAACAAAAGAATGGTTTAAGACAACAATGGCTATTGGAAGCTCGAGTATTATGTTCCAGAGTGTCCTAGTGCTTAATTATCCTGGGAAATACAAGCACTAATTAAGAGCCTGAATTTATGTGGGAATTATAAAAGTAGATAGGACTCAACGGCTTAGGGTACCTTTGCTACTTAAAGCTTTGTTTATTGTAATTTTTTGCTATTTATATTATTTATTTATTTTTTGACTATATTTGGTGTAACATTAACTAACAAATGGCCATTTGTCTTCTCCTACGGTTATTAGATGTTATATTAATCCAAAGGTTCTCTTTTACAATTACAAATATGGCTAAGAATTGGGATCCCACAACTTTTGGAAACAAATTTGGCCATTCATTAAATTTTCAGATACTACATTTGCACCACTGCCATATGTGACCATTAAATGTGTAAGCTAATGGCTAGTGACTACTCCAATAAGAAATTTATACGTATACATTCCCATAATTATTTTTTGAATTTCCTACTTAGATATGCTTTTTTCTTTTCATTAAAATTCCATAATGTCAAAACTCTCAAATTTAAATCCTAAATACCGAAATCTAAAATTTTAACTCAAAATGCGTAAAGTTTTACATGTACAAAGTCCAAAATCCATCAACGGGACTCTTATCATTGAACTCAATGGTGGCTCAACACCAACCGAGATTGTGGCATGATTATAAATTGTAATAAAGATTGTGGTGGTTATCTCGAATAGCCCAATCTCCGGTAGCCTCTGTTAAAGAAATTCCGCAATCAAACTATGATTTGTGATAGCTTCAATCTAGTGGCCAAATAATAAGGTACCGATTTTTCTTTTCCATTTGTGGTTTTGACCTCAGAGAGAGAAAAGCGGAATATGGGTTTTTTTTTTTTTTGTTGCAGATGAGGAAGATAATTTAGAAATATTTTATCTTATAAAATTTTCAATTTGCCAAATCTATTATTCTATTTTAACCTTCCTCTAATTAATATCAATGGCCTGAGAAATTGAGAATAGGTGATGCTACTGGTAATATAAAATACCCCTATGGTAACATCAATCGTTTCTGGTGTATTGATAGCAGAAATATATGGTCTCATTATTTTTGCTGCTTCTGTAAATTCATCAAGCATTTGATTGGCAATATTTTGCAAATGTGTTATTATTTGCACTTCATTTTCAAATTGAGATGTGCGAGGATCAAAATGAGACATAGAATCACTTTCCAAGAAAGTTCAAGCCTCACTTCAGGAGGCTTTACCTTTTTATGTAAAGACGGGAATGTTGTCTTGTCAAAATGGCACTCCGCAAAACGTGCGATAAACAGATCGCTTGTTAGGGGCTCAAGATATTTGATGATGGATGGTAAGTCATAGCCAACATATATTCCCAAATGACATTGGGGTCCTATTTTGATGCATTGAAGGGGTGCAATTGGAACTTGCACAATATAACCAAAAGTTCTTAAATGGGATATATTAGGCTAGTGTTCAAATACAAGTTGCGTTGGAACGTATTAATGATATATAGTGGATATTAGGCGAATTAATGTCGTAGCATGTAAAACAACATGAGTCTAGGAAGATTTCGGTAATTACGTACGTAATAGCAAAGTTCTTCCAATTAATTGGATATGCTTTATGAATGACTCTGCATGCCATTCTGGGTATGTACATGCGGTACTGGGTGCTGAACATCAATTCCCATTGCTGTACAATGGTCATCAAATGTCTTTGAGGTGAATTCACCAGCATGGTCCAAACGGATTGATTTAATTGGGTAATCTGGAAAGTGTGCCTGTAATCTGATAATTTGTACCAACAATCTAACAAAAGCAAATTACAGGTAGATAGTAGACAAACATGTGACCATCGTGCGTCGTGCTGATGAATCAATCAATACCATAAAGTAGCGGAAAGTCCACTTGACGGACGAATAGGTTCACATGTGTCCCTATGAATCCTTTGTGAAAATGATGGGGATTCTATACCAACGTTTGTGATAGATGACTTAAGTGCCAATTTGCCTTGTGATCAAGCAGTACAAGCACTCATTAGGCTAAAGAATCTTCAAGTTCTTTAATGGGTGCCCATGTGAGTTTTCTATGATTCTATGCATCATAGTAGATCCTAGGTGACCAAGACGGTTGTGCCAAATTTAAAAAGTTCAGGATCAGTGAACTTATGGTTCATGACTACATATATTTTAACATTCTTCAGGAATGTGTTATATAACCCTGGTGAGAAAGCAGAGAGTTTCTCCAGTACATACTTCTAGCATGAAATATTAGCAATGATGCATAGAAACTCTCCATCCTTTTCACTTATAGTTTCAATGTGGTATCTATTGAGCCGTATATCTTTGAAACTAAGCAAATTTCTTCAAGATTTGTTAGAATATAAAGCATTATGGATACTTAATTTAGTTCCACTTGGTAACCAGAGTGTTGCTCTTCCAGAGCCCTCAATTATGTTTGCAGATCTTGATACGGTATTTATTTTAACCTCAGTAAATGTCAAACCTGAGAAATATTTTCCATCCCGAAGGATGGTGTGCGATGTTGCATTGTCTACTATACAAATGTCTCCACCATTTCTGGATATCGTTTTCAGGGGTCTTATCAGATTAGAACATTATTGAGGACATCTGTGATAGCGTAGTATATATCAATTTATCGAAAGTAAGCTAAAGGTGTTTGTAGAGATTGTTCAGCCACGGCGGTTGCCGTTTCGCAAGCTTATCTGATTGCAAAACACGGTGGAATTCAACTATGATATGTTGGCAATGACAATGAAGTTTAGACGTGTTTTTCCTTGTTGAAGGAGAGGGATTGGTATCATTATTGTCCCAAATAGAAGGATTGGGACAAAGTAGAGAAAATTTGGGAAATTTTGAAGGTGTTTAGTGGTGCAACGAATCTCATATTAGGGAGTGATTATTCGACATCAAACTTGTTTCTAAAACAAGTTTGTACGATCAAAATTATGTTGGATAGTAAGAGTGAGGATGAAGATGAATTATACAGACCATGATTTGGAAAATGAAAGAAAAGTTTGACAGATATTAGGGGAAATGTATATGTTGATGGCGGTGGCTGTGGCTGTGGCTATTGTTTGGACCACCCTAGACTAAAAATAAGGGTGATCAGTGGTTTCCATAAGATGTATTAAGCTTGAAGTTGGGCAAATACTGGTGTTGTTCAAGATGTCTTGTATGAGGTATATAGGGAGTATGTTGATGCTAAAAAGTATTGATTGTTGCCGCGCTTTTACATCTAGACGGATGAAGTTGAGCTTGTTGGCGAGGGGTCAGGGGCAGCAGTAAAGAGGGCAGAGGATTGGGATGATTTAGTTAGTTTTGACATGGTTGAGACGGTTGAGCAA